AACCCCGTCATTGTGGATGAAGGGGTGTGTACCTGAATAGGTATATGATGAATCAACTCTAGTAAAAATGTTAACTGCAGAATCCAAGGGGTGCATATAGGAGTGTTTGTTGCAATTCTTTCAATTTCCTTGCGCTTCAAATTTTTCATAAGATGTTGGGGGAAATATCCTTCAGTGATTCCTTTTAGATTTTTGGATGAAGCGCAAGACTCCATGCAGTTCATAAGGCCCTTTAAGATCTGGCCATGCTGCCTCCTTCTACAACCTCACCTGCCACCACTCACAGGTCCCCTCCCCACAAACCAGCCTAGGTTACTGAGAGCTGCCCAGGAGAGTCGTGCCATTTCATTCCTCTGTGTCCGCGTACTTGCTGTTCCTTCTTCCCAGAACACTCTTCCCTGTATTCTTCTCCAGCGACCCCCGAACCCCTGGTCACTCTCTAAACTCATCTCAAGTGACGCCTCCTCCAGGAAGCTTTTGCTGAACCCCTCGGATGGAGGCCCCTTATCTGGTTCCCCCAGGCTCTCCCATAGCTCAGCCGAAGGTTAAGCCACCAGGGCCTCACCCAGGACTGGATTTGCAGATAAGCTGCGGGGCTGGAAGCCGGCCTGAGAACTGGGGTCTGAATCACAGATGAGCTCTCATTTTTCCCCTCAGAGGTGCAAACGTGCTCAGCTCGGAGCAAGTCCTGAGGCTACACCTGACCCGCAGACCCCGGAGCCTGCTGGAGGGGCCCGAGCTCTGATGGGGGTGGGGCCCCCCAGGAAGAGGTCCTGGCGGGGTGGGGAAGAAGGCGGGGCCGGAGGCTGTGCTAGTCGGTGTCCCGGAGCTGGGACGGAAGTTGCCAAGTACAGTTAGTTTCAGTTTTGTTTCTCTTGCAGGCACCTTGCCGCAGCCGTGTCCAGGCCTCGGCCCCCCACTCCTGGTGCTGGAGCCCAAGGTCAGCTGAGGCCAGGTAAGGAGAGGCAGGGGGAGGGGAGCTGAAGGAAGAGCTAAACTGTAGGGGGTTGGGGGAAGGGAGAGAGCGCACGGGTAAGGAGAGGCAGGGGGAGGGGAGCTGAAGGAAGAGCTAAACTGTAGGGGGTTGGGGGAAGGGAGAGAGCGCACGGGTAAGGAGAGGCAGGGGGAGGGGAGCTGAAGGAAGAGCTAAACTGTAGGGGGTTGGGGGAAGGGAGAGAGCGCACGGGAGGAAGAGGGAGGGGGGAGGCGGGGAGAGGGACCCGGAAGTCAGGAGGAGAGGGGAAGCTGGGCGGGAGCACCCCCACTTCACCCCACGGGACCAGAGGTCTGAGGATTCCCTGGGAAAGACCCCTTCCCACTCTCTGAGCTCTGTCCCCAGCCCCCACTTTCCGGAAGTTTGGGGGAAATTTCCTAAGTCCCTTCAGTATTTCACAGCCACTGTGCTGGGAGCTGGGGGGATCCCCAGATGAGCCTCACGCATCTCAGACCCTTCAGAAGTTTCTAGGAGAGCAGAGGGCCTCTTGCAGCAGGAAAGACTGAAAGAAGAGGACTCTAGGACAACGATGGCGAACCTATGACACACGTGTCAGAGGTGACACGCGAACTCACTTTTTTGGTTGATTTTTTCTTTGTTAAATGGCATTTAAATATATAAAATAAATATCAAAAATATAAGTCTTTGTTTTACTATGGTTGCAAATATCAAAAAAGTTCTATATGTGACACGGCACCAGAGTTAAGTTGGGTTTTTCAAAATGCTGACACGCGGAGCTCAAAAGGTTCGCCATCACTGGTCTAGGAGTTGAGGCAAAGGTTACTGTGACCCCCCAGGCCCAGCGGCTGGAAGGAGCGGGCAGGGCAGCCCCTTCCCCTCAGCCTCCCTGCTGCCTGCTCTAGAACCCATTTCAGGAAATCAGGGCATGAAGCGGGGCCCCCACTACCCATGAAGCCACCCCCAGGGTCTAGAAGACAGATGTCTGCCCGGTGGAAATTGGGGCCCTTTATATTGCCCCAAACGCCAGGAGTCAAGACAGCTCCGCCCACTTGGGCCTTCCGCTGTGTCCCCCCCCCAACCCAGCACCTCGGCCCCAGCAGGATACCCAGGACCTATTCACACAGGGGGCTTGGGTCTCACTTGCCACCAGGCTTGTCGTTACTCTGTTAGCTCTCTGAGGCCAGGGGTTTCTCTTCTCGGTCTTGTCATTTCTTATATCTCTTAACACGTGCAAGCAGCACTGACTTTTTTCATATTTGCTGAATGTATGCAAGGAGAAGGGCAGCTCCCTGGCTCAAGAGCAAATGGCCAGAGAACTCAGAAGACCAGAAGAAAATTCCTGGCCATTCAGGTGATTCTCCAGTCCTGGTGGGGCTTGAGCACAGGGGGAGAGGCAGGAGGGCAGGCTGGTGGTGTGTTCTGCTAATCCTGACTCTTGGCTTGCAGCATGATGTCCCAGGGATCCTCACCCTCCCTTCTGGAGGCCCTGAGCAGCGACTTCCTGGCCTGTAAAATCTGCCTGGAGCAGCTGCGGGCACCCAAAACCTTGCCCTGCTTGCATACCTATTGCCAGGACTGCCTCGCCCAGCTAGCCGAGGACGGCCACCTCCGATGCCCTGAGTGCCGCGAGACCGTGCCAGTGCCACCAGCTGGCGTGGCCGCCTTCAAGACCAACTTCTTTGTCAATGGGCTCCTGGATTTGGTGAAGGCTCGGGCTGGTGGAGACCTGCATGCAGGAAAGCCAGCCTGTGCGCTGTGCCCACTGATGGGGGGGGCTAGTGCCGGGGGGCCAGCCACAGCCCGGTGCCTAGACTGTGCTGATGACCTGTGCCAGGCCTGTGCCGATGGGCACCGCTGCACCCGACAGACTCACACCCACCGAGTGGTGGACCTGGTGGGCTACAGGGCAGGGTGGTATGACGAGGAGGCCCGGGAGCGCCAGGCAGCCCAGTGCCCCCAGCACCCAGGAGAGGCCCTGCGCTTCCTGTGCCAGCCCTGTTCCCAGCTGCTGTGCCGTGAGTGTCGCCTGGATCCCCACCTGGATCACCCCTGCCTGCCCCTGGCTGAAGCTGTGCGTGCCCGGAGACCAGGCCTTGAGGAGTTACTAGCAGGTGTGGACAAGAACCTGGCCGAGCTAGAGGCTGCCCGGGTGGTGGAAAAGGAAGCCTTAGCCCGCCTGCGGGAGCAAGCGGCCAGGGTGGGGACACAGGTGGAGGAGGCTGCCGAGGGGCTCCTCCGGGCCCTCCTGGCCCAGAAGAAGGAAGTGCTGGGGCAGCTCCGGGCCCACGTGGAGGCTGCTGAGGAGGCTGCTCGGGAAAGGCTGGGAGAGCTGGAGAGCCGGGAGCAGGTGGCCCGGGCCGCGGCTGCCTTTGCCCGCCGGGTGCTCAGCCTCGGTCGCGAAGCCGAGATCCTCTCGCTGGAGGGGGCAATTGCCCAGAGGCTCCGGCAGCTGCAGGGTTGTCCCTGGATGCCTGGACCAGCCCCCTGTCTGCTGCCCCAGCTGGAGCTCCATCCTGGGCTCCTGGACAAGAACAGCCACCTGCTGTGGCTCTCCTTTGAGAATCAGCAGTCCCAGAAGGACAGTGGGAAAGATGGAGCTGGGAGCCAGGGAGGTGAGGAAGCCCAGAGCCCCAGAGAGGATGGAGCCAAGATGGAGAGACAAGGTGCCGCCCAGCCCCAGAGTAGGGATGGAGCCCAGACTCCAAAAGAGGACCGAGCCCAGCTGCCCCAGGAAAATGGAGCCCAGACCCCAAAGACAGACAGAGCCCAGGCCCCGAGAGAAGGCAGATCCCAGATGCCTCAAGAGGATGGAGAAGTCCAGACTGCAGGGGGCGGCAGATCCAACAAGAAGAGGAAATTCAAAGGCAGGCTCAAGTCCATTTCCCGGGAGCCCAGCCCTGCACCCGGGCCCAACCTGGAGGGCTCTGGCCTCCTCCCCAGGCCCATCTTTTCTTGCAGCTTTCCCACTCGGATGCCGGGAGACAAGCGGTCTCCCCGGATCACCGGGCTCTGTCCCTTTGGCCCCCGGGAGATCCTGGTGGCTGATGAGCAGAACCGGGCTCTGAAGCGCTTCTCCCTTAATGGCGACTACAAAGGCGCTATACCTGTCCCCGAGGGCTGCTCCCCGTGCAGCGTGGCCGCCCTGCAGGGTGCGGTGGCCTTCTCAGCTGGGGCTCGGCTGTACCTCATAAGCCCCGACGGTGAGGTGCAGTGGCGCCGGGCACTGAGCCTGTCCCAGGCCAGCCATGCGGTGGCTGCCATGCCGAGTGGGGACCGGGTGGCTGTCAGTGTGTCGGGCCACGTGGAGGTGTACAACATGGAAGGCAGTCTGGCCACCCGCTTCATCCCTGGCGGCAAGGCCAACCGAGGCCTTCGGGCACTGGTGTTTCTGACCACCAGTCCCCAGGGCAATTTTGTGGGGTCAGATTGGCAGCAGAATAGTGTGGTAGTCTGTGATGGGCTGGGTCAGGTGATTGGGGAGTACGGGGGACCAGGCTTGCATGGCTGCCAGCCAGGCTCCGTGTCTGTGGATAAGAAGGGCTATATTTTTTTGACCCTCCGAGAGGTCAACAAGGTGGTGATCCTGGACCCAAAGGGGTCATTGCTAGGCGACTTCCTGACAGCCTATCATGGCCTGGAAAAGCCCCGGGTGACCACCATGGTGGACGGCCGGTACTTGGTCGTGTCCCTCAGTAATGGGACCATCCACATCTTCCGGGTCCGCTCTCCTGACAGTTAAAGGACTGGGACTGGGGTGGAACTGGGTGGGGTTGGGGTGGGAGTGGGGCAGGGTTATCATGGGAAGTGGTGGACGAGGCATTTTCCCAGAGGGCAGGTGTTGGCAACCTTTCCATGTCACGTGCCACACTGCCAACCCCTTTTTGGGTGTGCAGAGTTAGGGACCAAGGCTTGGGGCATGACCAAAGTTCTCAGAAGCAGAGGAGGAGGGACTGGCAGGGTGCTGGGAGTTAACCACCTCTTGCTTTTTGTGGGTGACTGCCCCCACCATCACCGCCACCCCCTCTGCTACTCTGGTTATAGTTTAAGTCTCTGAGATTGGTAAACTTGTCCTAATTTGCATTCTTCGAAACAATTCCTGGCGGAGGAGCCCAGCAGGAGTCTTGGGGAGATGGGCAGAAGTCCTTGGAGCCCACAGGGTCTCAGGGTGTGTCAGGCACATGCCTCTGAAAAGGCTGAGAACTGGCTCTCCCCGGATTGGGACAGGGACACGCCAGGTCAGAAGAGGCCTGGGATTTCGAAACGGCAGTTAATGGCATCTCCCACAGCCGTGGGCAGGAGTGCAGGCTTCTCTGATAGTGGCGTCCCCCGTGCAGTATGGGGTGGGCTTCATGGGCTACCAAGTGCAGGGCCAGCCCAGACTAAGAGGGGTTTACCTCACAGTCCACAAAGAGAATGGAAGACAACCTGGCAGGGTCAGAGTCCGATACCCAGGGTTCTGAGTATGAGAGAAGGGACCCCAGGTGCCCCTGCCACCTCTGAGCCAAGACTTATGTAGGATCTCTTCTGTGTTTATATCTTTACATTTCCTGGAGTCTATTTTTAGTTTCCTCTTAGTTTTCCAGCAAAATTCCGTTGGAGAAACGTTGGCTTTCATTGGCTGAACTAAGGGGTGAGGGAATGTGTCCTTCGGTAGGCCACTGCTGCTGGGGCCAACAACCCACCCTAGAGGCCTGCTGTGGGACTGGGGAGACAGTGGCTGGAAACCCTAAGAAGTTGGTAGTGGGGCTAGGACGGTGGAGGAGTGAAAACCGGAGGGGAGGACCTTGGAGGTGAACCACACCACTGGTCCTTTGCGTAGGTCACGGCAATGGTGGAACTGAGGTGGACGTGTTTAGCCAGGGGCTGTCGAGAGATGACCTAAGGGAATCGTAATGTTAGGATCATGGACAATGGAGTGTTCAAGGGAACCAGGGAATTAGGACAAGTCCAAATCGAAAGCGCAGAGCATGGAGGAGGGGACGTATTGCTTGTTTATTGACGTGATGGGGGAAATCTTCAAGGCCAGGTGAACAAATTCAGTTATAGAAAAATTGAAATGTGTACAGCAAAGAACGAAGATTTTTAAAAAACCAGTAAGATGTGAAAACTGCATGTGTAGAATTGATCTGAGTAAGAGCTGAGCCTGCATATATGCAGTGACCAACATATCTTACTTGGTCAGAGGACCAAATAGGCTGTGTGCCCAGGAGGAAACGTGCACAGGCCAAGACTACTAAGCAAAGCGATTTTTAAAAGTCAGCCGCTTTCATGCGTCAGAAATACATTTTTAAGATATGTCGTGGAGAAACAGACTCCTGGCACTATAAAATGGTGCTTCCTGGAGAGAATTTTAGCAATACTTGACAAGAGTACAAAAAAAAATGACTGTAAAGCTCAGTTATCTCACTTTGGGGAATACGTTCTGGGAAAATAATTCAAAAGAAAAGAAGTATTTGCACAGAGGTATTTGTGGCCACCCTATAAATTACAGTCTTGACTGGAAACTGCTCAGCTGTGGGGGACAGCTAAGTAGATTGTGGTCTGTTAGGACAATGAGCTACTGCCTTCATATATGATAACTATGAAAACTATTTACAAGAATATGTTGTGTGATGTAATCACAAGGCAAAAAAGAATTTGGATTATGATCACATGATGATCGCAACAAGGTGAAAGCATGTCTGAATCATTACAAGTGGAAATAGGTTCAAAATATGTAAATAGTCAGTGATTTGGGAGATTGGGTTCTTTCTGAGTTATTTTGTGCTGTTGTTACTCATATATGCACATTACTACTTAGTTATTTTTGTCCATTAAGTAACATATGCTTGAATATTTACTTTAAAAATACACCTCTATTAATGATATTCAAGAATAGCTACTGGATTTGCGAATGGATATGTCTCTTAGCACAAATGAGACTGTTCTGTTAGAAGAGGGGCAGGAGTCGGGGAGAGTACCAGGTGGCAGGGAGAAAGGCCATCAGAGCAGGGGTCTATTTGGTGACTGACCAAGGAACCCTCTATGGGAAGGGTTACCAAGGCCAGTGATCCCTTAAGGGAGATCATTGTGGAGTGCTCAGAAGGCAGGGGAAGGTCTTGCTGAGTTTGCCAACTAATTCAGACCAACTGGAAACCAAGTGGTGGTTCCAAGGAACCAACTAGTGTCGGATGAGTTGCATTGGTGGGGGGGGGGTCTGTCTTTGCAGCTCTGTCTGCAGAGTTAACAAAATGATGGCTCATAGTTGGTGCTCGGTCACACATGTGTGAAATGAATGAATACCTGTGAAAGGGGATGGGACAGTGGTAAGCTACCAGAGATTTGCCACCTTAAATGACATAGCCCTATCCAACCAAGTTGTCCAAAACCTTGGCTTATGGGAAATCTCCAGCAGGGGGACACTGGACACAGTCCACCCTATGCTTGGGGAGGGGACAGTGGGGTGGCCCAGCTCCTAGTCACAAAAGAGTTGAGATCGGGGTGTCCTGCTTATGTGTGTGGGGGGGACCTGGGGATCATACATCTTCAGGTTGGAGCAGCAGCTCTACAGAGCTGTGTAGGAGCCATATGCCGAGGGCCTGGCTGGTGAAATGGCTCCAGCCAAGCGGCTCACCCAGGAGGCAAACCAGGAATAGAGACCTTTAGAAAGGAAGTGCCACCTGCCTACAAGAAACCCTGACGCTCCAGACATACAGGAGCCACGTGACTTTCCCGGAAGCTGTAAGCATCTTGGAAAGCCAGGTGGTGGGAGATTGACAGAAATTCTAAATTTTCCTCATTAAAGGGTAGGGGTGGGAAGGCACAAAACACTGGCAAAATATGAAATAGACGGGGAGTATCGCATTGAGCCAACTTAGAGGTAAAATCCCCAGCATCTTAACTGTGACCTGGGAATCTTAACAAAACCCACAGAAAGCACCACTCAGCAGCGAGGGAACGAGTTCTTGGTTAAACTACAGATCGTAAGCAATCAGGAACAGTGTGAAGGATATGCCCCCATCCCCACTGGACCACGACAGTTAGCTTGGCCCATCATTCCTTCTCCTGTTTGGAACTCTCCAGCTGGTGCATGTACTGGTGATAGGAGAATGCCATTCATTCAGGTCGGGAGAAAGGGAGCAGAAACCTCTTTCATATACTAGTACTTTGCACCTAAAAAAGTGAATGAAGAAGCAGAGACCTGGGTTGAGTACCGGCTCTTCCACTTAATAACTATATCTTGGTCTAGCTCCCTAACCTCTCTGCACCTCAGTTTCTACATCAGTTAAGTGGGGCTAATACTACCCACCATGCCCACCTCACAGGGTTGTGAGGACTGGGTGAGAAGTAGAATTATTTGTATTTTGTATGCCATAAGCTCAAATCCGAGGTATTGGTTAGGAAAAAGCTCAGCTCACTTGTACTAACAAAATACTCTTACATCAGTGTAAGCTTGAATGGGATGTTATGTGCACATATTGCAGATAAAAGCTCAACATCTGCATAGAGCGGTTACCTTTTCCTTTGTAGAAGACTTATTTTGCATTCCAGGAGTTATTTGAAAATGCCATGTACTATAACACAACCGTGACTATAGGAGCAGAAGGGACCAATGGCCAGCTTGCTAAAATGCGATGCTATTCCTAAAAGCGAGCAGATAACCAGACCGTACTAATGAAGGACTGATAACTATAGATTCCTAGAGGTTCAAAATGGCGAGAGTGGCCTAATCTCTTGATAATCTAGAGAAAATATAATTTGGGAGGGAATAGCTCTCCTTTCATTGTAGTCTTATTATTACTGTGTCTATAAAGCCATGCTATATAATAAATCTACAGAGATAAAATTCCACAGGGGCAGAAGTCCAAGAGAGAAGGCAGATCTTCCAAGAAAATTGGTGAGATCGGTGACCTGAGCTGGGTAGGTGGGTGTCAAGATCAAGGACTTGACCATCTCTCCTTGGCAGGTCAGCTGGGAGCTAGATTTATCCCATGAATTAAATGGGAGACTGGACAAGGGTCCAGAGTTCTGTTTTGGGGAGAATGCAGTCTTGGACTAGCTGGAGTAGAGAGCTACCAGAGAGAGCACGCGAAAATGTTCCTTGCAAGAGGAAGACCAAGTTCCGATGCAGGTTGAGGAAGATTAGTAACTTGACCAGAGGTAGCAGAACCATCCTACCCAACTGGTTGGTGAGTATAGTTTAGTTAAATGGATCAGGACAAAAGCAAAAAAGGATCTTTGAGGGACCACAGATGCCTTTGGTTGCAGGAGTGAATAAGGTGCAGCAGGGTCGGGGTGGGCCTCACCTGAAGCCCCAGGTGAGGAATCTTTGGGACCAAATAGAGAAGGGCCTGTGTATAAAGAGGCGATCAGGAAGTAGCCTTGGGGAGGTTTTAGAAGGCAGCCTGACTTGTCTCAGGAGAACATTTGAACTGGTTGGCGTATCAGCCAAGAGAGAGGGTTGAAATTGTAACTGGGGCTTCATTATCTATGGTGTCAGCCCAGTAAATTTCTTTTAGTTGAAATGGGCTGAAAAATGTGCTGTAAACTCTCATTCCTTCAGTTGTGTTTATATCTTTATCTTGTTGCTGAATAAATTCTTCTTAAAATTTTGAACCTTTTCTCAGGTGGTTCATGGGTATGGGGGACTGTTAACACCCAGGCCCAGATGGCAAAGGGAAAATACATCATGGCCACCCCTGTTGTTGCTCCAAAGATGCCAACCCAGTGCTTGGGAGGCATAGTCACCATCTGTGGTCCCGCCCTTGTCCTGGGCCACTCCTGCTTGTAGCAGAGGGGCCCTCTAGGCAAAAAGGTGTACCTTCCAGGCTAACGCTTGGTGGGAGCCAGCAGGTGATCTGGCCCAGCCGGACTGCACACGCGAACGCTCAGGTGAGGTATGACTGGGTGATGAGCCCGGGTCAGGGTAGCTGTGCCCACTACTGATCTCTGCTGGCCTTCTGTTTTGGGGAAACCAAATGAACATCGTGAATACCTTCTAGCATGCTGCATTTGCAAGCTCACAGTGGCCCCTGCAGGGCTGGGAGGTATCAGGCTGTAGGAATATCTGCCTGCTGGCACAACCTACCCTCCCTCCTCTGATCTATCTCCAAAGCCTCTGCCCCCCACCCCCACCCCCATTCTCCTGCCCCTCCCCTCTGAGTGTCCTGAGCAGGAAGAAGAAAGACCTCAGGTCCTCACTTCTAATTCACAGCCTCAGGCTCCCATCTAATGGAGCACCCACCTCCCTGTGCGTTTCACCCAGGACTTCCAGCAGCCTCAACCCCTACAAAGCAGGAACATTAACATTATTTGACAGACAAGGACATGGAAGCCTGGCGAGACTTGCTCATGCGAAGTAGATTTAGACTCTGACTCCAAAGCTGACCTTCCAAACAGCTCTAAATCCTGAGCATGTGTCTCCTGTTTCCTTGTTCGCCGATGAGTTGAACAAAATGAGACCTGAGGTTCTTTCCTGAGCTAACAGACCCGACCCCTGTCGCTATAATAGGTCCAGAATCCAGACCCAAGAAGGGAAGCTCAGGGACACCCCTACGCATCCCACTGCTGTCTTGTGCTCACTGTCAGGGCCCCCCAAGATGAAGGTGGAATGACAAGTGAGGGGAGAATGTTTTGAGAGGCTTGGTGGGGGAACAGGAGGTGTGGATCAGGGCCCACTGCTGCCGTGGTGACAGCCTGAATAAGAATTCCACAATTCATCATCGAATGACTCAGCCTGCTTTGGAGCTGCGCCTCTGCGAACCCCAGGGAGCATGACTCAGCAGCTGAGGGGGCCGGGTGCAGGCGAGATCACCGTGGTCCATGTGAGCGGTGACTGTGGAGAGAACGGGCTGTTCCCAGCTCCAAACCCCAAGGTGGCGTGTCTGCTTCTGTGGTCAGACACACACGGCCTGGGCTTCCTAGCCATGTGGCCAAGCCGCCCGCAGGCCTGGGTCTCTCCTCCTCTGCATTCAAGAAGTCACCGCCCTGGAGACATCAGGGCCACCTCCTTTCCCACAGCTGTGGCATCTGCAGCAAGGGGCCTCTCTCCCTTCACTGCTCTTCCAGGATCAGGCCGGCCTTTAAATAAGGGCAGCAGAGGCCACACTATAGGGTGGCGAGGCCTATGAACATCACAGGCTGGGCACACAACTGGATAGATGGTCACAACATCCCTTCCTGCTCTGAGGGGGTGGGGTGAGATGGGGGATCCCAGGCCTTGATTTTGCTCAAAGCCCAACTTAGAAAGTATCTCTCCCCCCTCAGAAATAAAAATGCATATTTTCCCTCCCTCCAATACTAAGTTAGGGAAATCCATCAACTTACCAGAAGAAAACAGCCAAAGAAAGCTGCGGTGGAACAGCCCCAAGTCCAGGGAGGGGCTGGCACCATGGGCTGGTGCACACCGTGCCGGGCACACACTGCCCCCTGCTCGCCACCGCACCTGCCTGCCCTTCTCCAAGCCTGATCACAGGCAGCAATTTCCTCACCTGCAAGACCCTTTAGGACAAGAACTTCTGAGTCACGTTGAGCATCCCGTAATCAGGTGTTCCATAAATATCTGCTGGTGGAAGGAACACATGAGTGAATCTGCTAAAACCTAGTCACCGGCATTGGTGTCAGATACATTGGGAGGAGACGCAGCTGTCATCAGGCACGGCCTGAGGCAAAAGAGGTTTATTCTTTTCCTTAGAAGGGAGACATGAATAAGAGTAAACTTACCCCAATTCTGGGGGGAAAGGCAATAGTCTCCCTGTTGTACTTTTTTTTTAAAATATGTTTTATTGATTTTTTACAGAGAGGAAGGGAGAGGGGTAGAGAGCCAGAAACATCGATGAGAGCGAAACATCGATCAGCTGCCTCCTGCACACCTCCTACTGGGGATGTGCCCGCAACCAAGGTACATGCCCTTGACCGGAATCGAACCTGGGACTCTTCAGTCCACAGGCCAACGCTCTAGCCACTGAGCCAAACCGGCCAGGGCCCTGTTGTACTTTTTCTTTTTCCCACAGCACTCTGACCTCCTAACGTAGCATTCCATTTCATTATTTATCCTGCTTCTTTTTTAAAATATATTTTATTGATTTTTTACAGAGAGGAAGGGAGAGGAATAGAGAGTTAAAAACATCAATGAGTGAGAAACATCAATCAGCTGCCTCCTGCACACTCTTTACTGGGGATGTGCCGGCAACCTAGATACATGCCCTTGACCGGAATCGAACCTGGGACCCTTCAGTCTGCAGGCCAACGCTCTATCCACTGAGCCAAACCGGCTAGGGCTTATCCTGCTTCTTGTTTGTTGTTTGTCTCCTCCCCCAATATCCACCCTGGGGAGACTGCAAGCCCCGGGGGGACAGGACATTTGGCCTGTTTGGTACACTGCGATGCCCTCAGAATAGCTTCATAGATAAGTGAGTAGCTGGGTGAGTGGGTGAGTGAGTGAGTGAGTGAGTGAGTGAGTGAATGGTATCTATTGAGCATTTATTCTGAGCCAGGCCCCTCTACCTGCTGTGCACTGTAGTTCCCTCAGAAGTTCTAAGAGGCAGATACCACTCTCATCCCTGGTTTAAAGGTGAGAAAGGTTAGGTTAGAGAGATTATGCAACACAAACAAGATCACCAGGAGCTGGGCAAGTAGCTGGAGAGAGGCCAGCACCAACTGTTGGCTGCAGGGCCAACGCCTCACCACTCCCTGGCGAAGAGCTGCCCAGGAGGCCTTCCAGGAAAGTCACACCCCATGTAATCTTTGCTGATTGTTGTTTTTCTTTATAACTCTCCCCACCAGCCTCCCACGCGAGCCCATTATACCTCCAGAAAATACCTTTGCCCCGAAGCGCAGCTTTTCCTCAGCTGGAAAGACATCTCCTGATGGGAGAACCTTGGGGACCTGGGGACAGAGACGGGGACTGAAAACCTGGGTCTGGCTCTCCCTGCCTGGGCTCTGCAGAGCTGGGGTGGGCTGTGCTAATCCTGCAGCCCACTCCCCGCCCACCCCACAGACTGCTTGGGAGGCTGCCAGGCCCAAGCCGGGGAAGGCTGAACTCTTTCCTAGGGGTTTCCTGCTGCCTGGAGCTGAGCTAGAACATAGGGAGGTCCTGCCCACCCCAAGGCACCAGAGCTCTGAGGCACTGTCTCCTCCCCAGGCTGGCTCTGCAGGGCCAGAGCAGAGAGAGCCAGGCCAGGCTCCCAGTCCCCTTCTCTGCCCCTGAGCCTCTGTGGTTCTCCTGCTAGGAAAATCTGTCCAGCTAAAAAGCACAGCTTTGGGGCAGAGATATCTTTTGGGTGTGGAATGAGGTCATAGGAGCAGGTGGTAGGAAGATAAAAGTATTCACCGACAAAGGTAATGTGGGTGTGACTTCCCTGGAAAGCCTCAGGTACAGTGCCTTGCCAAGGAGCACCAAAGAGGTAGCCCAGGCCAGCAAGACCTGGCATTGATCTCTGTCCAGCCACTTGCTCCTACTGATCCCTGGAGGAGAGAATGGAGGTCCAAGAACATCAGGGGCAGGGAGAAGGCCGCAGGGCCCGGAGGCCCACACACATATCCACGCTCAGGACACAGAGCGCCACATTGCCTCCATCCAAGAGCTTGGGGAGGCAGTGAGAGAGGAAGGAACTGAGATGGGGATGGAACTGAGATGTCTGAGCAACAGCTACAGGTGGGTCACCAGGGCAGGCGGAAGCTGGATTGGGGTTTGTCAGGAAGACTGTGTCCCAACGTTGGAGAAGCAGCGCCACGCATCACTCACAGGGTTTCTGCCCGTGGCTGGGGCCGGGCATCTGCGCTGGTGTTTAGATGAGGGAAGGAGGAGTAGCTCCGTGATCTGCAAGCAAATGGAGGTGGGGGACATGCTGTCAGGGTGTTCCCAGGCAGGGCATCCTGCCAGCCTTCATCTCATCAAAGAATCAAGACTGGAATTTCCCTGAAGCTCATTTCCTACCATTTAATCCTCAGTCAAGGCACACAGCTGCCAAGTCTGTCCCTGAAGGGCAAACGCTGGGCGTGGGCAAGGAGCAGAGGCCTCCAGGCCCTGTCCACCTCTCCGCCCCAAGCCCCTCTTCTAACAGAAGGCATAGGAACCTTCCCTCTGGGGTCTTCTCCCCACCCCCCACCTGCCCCGGAAAGGGATTCAGGCTGAAGAGAGCTGCATTTAATCCCAGCTCTACCACTCACTCACCAAGTGGCCTCTGCACAGGTCACTTAACCTCTCTGAACCTCCATTCCTTATCTGTGAAGTCCATGCAGTAAAATACACCACGGGGCTTCCAGGACGAATAAATGCAATAACGAATGTGAACACACTCAGCCAGTGCTTGGCTCATCAACATCCATTCATTTCTTCTCCCCTCACCCCGGGGACCATGGGCCTTCTCCTCATGCCTTCTGGAGACCAAGCACCTGGGCTGGGCTGTTTCCTTCCGCCCCAAGCACCAATCCATCAGCCTGCCACACAGTCAGTATTTATTGGGCCCTGCCTTTAAGTAACCAAGGCAAACGGAAGTGTAAAGATGTCGGGGAAAGACTCAGCCAGCTGGGGAAGGGGGCTGGTCACGTAGACAGCTGCCTTTATTGCGGTGCTCGCTACAGCCCAGCACCTGGTTCTCAACTGTGTGCACATC